TTTACCCAAAGTGGGATAAAAGCGATATTTGTGGGCCCCTCGATGATTTACTGATGACATCTAAGCGCTTGGCCAAGCCGAGACTAAGTTGACGTGTTCAATTGTAGTCTGTAGTCAGTCGTCATAAATCGGAAGTCGGGAAAAAGTATAGAGAGAATGATTATAATTCATGTCTTGTGTCTATACGATATCTTGAGAATTGAGGAATATATGATCCCTTATCTAAAGAACACGCGTATCTGATAAGATCAGAGTTGACATCGGCTTATGAAAGCTACGATTGCTGATTAGGTTTTGAAGTCATATGGAAAATAATTATTAGACTTATACAAGTGGGAGACTATTGGATTAGTGTCTAAGTCCATAATTATTTTGGTATGTACTTGACCTGATTATGAGCATGGTCCTTTTGGGTTGCCTTCACCATAGCAATATGTAGGATGAATTGAGGATATAAAGGTTTAATTATGATTTATTAATATATTATAAGAATAATATATTAAAGGAGAAATCATATTGTTTAATTAATATTAGTAAAAAATTAATTAAGAATTAATTTGTGGTTAAAAGAGATTAATTAAACTTAAGGGACTAATTGTGTAATTATAAGACAATTACATAGATGAGCTTATGGACTCCATAGAAGGTGGAGTGGACGAATTCTATGGGGAAACTCGTTAGAAATCGTCCAAGGCTTCTAAAAAAGGAGTCCATGGGCTGCTTAGGGCTTAAGCAGTCAAATTAGGGTTTCCTAGCTTGATAACCCTAATAGCTTAAGTATATAAGGAGCCCTTAGGCACCAAAAACGTGGCTAACACTTCCTTTAGGGTTTTCAGCCGTTTTTGGTGCCTCCCCTCTCTTCCCTCTTCATCCAAGTTGCTTAGTGGTGTTTGTGACTCCATTAGAGGTGCAACACTTGATACACTAAGTTTTATGAAGCTAATGATTGATTGTTATTCCTATATAACAATCAAAGGTTAGATCTAAACCCTGTTTTATGTTAATATGATTAATCGTATGTTAGATCTAGGGTTTATGGCTTTCGATAATCAATTGCATGTTCATTACACAAAGTAGATCCAAAGCTATTAGGGTTTGCATTTACACCATATGATTGATGTATTGCTCAAAACCCTTCATATTAATCCTAGTTTAAAATCATGTATAAACTCTAAATTACAAATCGGAAAAAAACCAAGTGTCAATCCAACTTTAAACGAATTAGATGTGCATTTTTTAAAACTTTCACAGAATACAAAAAAACTGATAAAAATAAACTTTAATCTTTGATATCTCGACTTTGGAAGACCGTAAGTCAATGGATATAAAACTAAAAATTACAAATTTATAGTTTGTATAAACTTTAAACTACATGTTAGAAAAAACCGTATATTAATCCGACTTGAAACGAATGAGATATTCATGTTTTAAACGTTTCATAAAAACTAGTTCCGACACTTAAAAGTGGTTCCGCTTCCTAACACCGGTTTCTGTTCTTATACCCGGTTTGCCCCGACCCGATGGACCCTAACCAGATTACTCTGAACCCGGGTAAATCCAATTTTTTAAGTCAGAACAAAAAATAGTTCACTACAAGAAATAAACGCATTAGCGGCGACGCCTATAGCGGCGACGCATAACAATAGCGGCGACACGTAAATGACGCGTTACGTGTCGCCGCTATTGCTATGCGTCTCCGCTATAGGCGTCGCCGCTAATGCGTTTATTTAGCGATCCGCGTCGTTTTGACCCCATCCGTCCGATTTCACTTTGATCTAATGGCTGTAGAGTAAAGCGGAGACGCGCGTTATTTTTTCCCTCCACATGTCGCCGCTAATGCCTTTATGTCGCCGCTGTTGCCCTAATGTCACCGCTAATGCCCGTCGCCGCTAATACCTAACGCAGATTACCCCCTTCACAGGTTCCCTTTCTGCCATTTTCTCTCTACTTCCACTTCTCTCGTTCTCCTCTTCTTCTTTCTGCAATATCACGGTTTTTTTACTAGTTTGTGGAGTTGGAATTGCTTCTTGGACCGGTGCTTGCCTCTCATTCCCCCAAGACAGCCATAAACCGGTGATATTTTTGCAAATTCCGAAATTACCCCTCCTTCCACAAGGTCGAATTTCTCATCTTTTTGCTATGATTTTTCTGTTTTTGTGTTACTTAAGATGATAAAATGTGAGTGTTTTGTTGGTTTGTGTGTGTTTTGTTGAAATATTTTGTTTGATTGTATATATTTTGTTGAAATATTTTGTTGGTTTGTGTGTGTATTTTGATAGGAATGTGAAATATTTTGTTTGATTGTATATATTTTGTTTGATTGTATATATTTCAAACGCCAGAATTTTTAAGGCGTTCGGCGTCAAACAAAGAATGTCGTGCAAAACAAGTAGTTGTAAATAGAGGGGGGTCGAGCTCATATAGCAATGCATGTTTTAAAGAGGTAAGTTATGATATATTTAAATATTTATTTAAAGTATAACTAATCTAAATTTTAATGTTAAATAGGATATCAGTCGAATCGAAGCTTTTCGTAAAGCTAATTCCAATCGCCAAGGGGTATTTTATAGTCCGGCAGTAGAGCAACAATACGTAAGTGGTTAATTTGTATTTTTCATATAAGTGTTTATATTGTCAAAGGTATTTAGTAATCTAATTTTTATGATTTTTATTGTTTTTAAAAAATACAGAATGCTTTACTCCAAGAGATAAACCAACGAACCCAGTCTACTTCTGAGGCAAACGGTCTAGCATCAACTGATATAAAAGATTGTTTTGAAAGAATATTGGGTGTTCGACGCGGACATATCAGAGGTATTGGGCGTAAACCCCCTACCGTTGTGTCTATGTACGATCAGCAACAAACAATGACACAACAAGAACCACAATCACAGGTAATTGTTAGTAAATGCTATAATGGATTGGTATAATTAATTATAATGTTATTCTGATATATTGTTAATATATTTTGTTTTTTTTATAGTTGCAAATGCTGCAAACAATACTACAGGACCCGGCTTGTTCTGCAACATTGGAAGAGTGGTTTCGCTCATTGCCGTCACAAAATAATGAAGATGATGATGAGGACGAGTAGTTATTTTAGGATTTAATGAAACGTTTTGTAATTCGAAACAATACTAAATGTGGTATATATATATATGTATTAATATTTTGGATTGATTTTATGTATTAACATTTTGGATTGATTTTATGTATTAATATTTCTATATAAAATTATCAGATTAATATTTGGATTTGGATTGATTATAAATTCAATGTGAAATAAATAAACAAAAAAAATAAAAATAAATCAAAAGAGCATTAGCAGCGACGGTAATAGTGGCGACGGCGTCATATTAGCGGCGACAACATATTAGCGGCGACGAGACGCATTAGCGACGACAGGAGTATTAGCGGTGACACCAAGTATTTGCGGCGACAATGAGCGTATTAGCGACGAATCTATACCGGCGACGTATTTGCAGTGACGCGTCGCCGCTAAAGGTATTAGCGGCGACACGCCTAACCTTTAGCGGCGACGCGTGTCGCCGCTGTTGCCCAATCTTCTTGTAGTGGTTCTATATATTCCGGTTCTAACGGTTCTGGTTCCCATCTAATTTTTTGTTTTTAAATCTCATCTCTAGTTCCTCCTACCGCCAAAAAATGTTATATAAATTATTAAAAAAAAAAGTAGTACAAAAATTTGTTGGCAAAAAAATAGTTATTTAGCTAAATTTGATATTAATATAAATTTTTTGGTTAAATCTTCTTAAATAAATGAATGTTTTTTTTTTTGTTAAATTTTTTTGTGCCACTTAACATAATTTTATTCAATTTATCAAATGTCATTTTGTGGTTATTTTGAAATAAATTTTTTTCCACATTTCATTTATTAGTTTTTTATTTTATTTTATTTTATTAAATTACACATAATATTTTAATGTAATAATTGCAATAAATATAGTAATAAATGGATAATAATTTCATTAGAAAACTTACCTTTTAATTTCAAAATTCTCAAAATTAAAGTTCGTTAGTTTTTTTTTTTTTTTTTTTTTTTTTTTTTTTTTTTTTAGTTTAAAAGATAAAAATATTTCCATTATAATATATCATTATTTTTTTTATTTACTTTTAAATTCAAAGTTATGACCTTTTTATATATATATATATATATATATATATATATATATATATATATATATTTTAAATTGACACATGTAACACATCGGTATCACAACTAATGTATATAAAAAAAATGCGAAGTGATTCGTACACAACAATTCATGTATTATATAGTTGTACAATAAAAGATTTTAAAAATTAATTGTTGTGAATGGAGAAAAATTATTATGTACGTATTAGCTTCCTAAAAAAATAGTAAATATGTATAATTGTAAAACTTTACTACCCTCAAAGTGGTGAAAAAAATCATCAAAAACTTAAAAAAAAACTTTTAATTATCGGTTATAATTATATCGTGAACATTTTAAGTATGTTTATTGGTGAACGAGAAAAAAATTAGATGTTACTAAATACAAACAAAAAGGAAAACTGGTTGTCCTTTTAAATTTATTTCTCAAATAATATTTGTAATCAAATGCTTTGTCAACGTCAAATTTGATATTTTAAGTATATTATTATTAATGACTACACATTTGTAAGTATTATTCAAATATAATAACATTTCAATATTACTTATTTAATTAACTTTTAAGATTACGACATCCCACCTCTTTTATTTTTTTGCGTCGACTTATTTAATTTATTTAAGTGTAGTTGCACTATAACTTGATCTGTATTGTGTGTCTCTTCAATGTGAGTTATGTTCTAATCAGATAATTTGAAATGCTACGTATTCATTTTTAGTTGTAAATTTCACTTGATTTTTTTTCTCATTGTTAAAACCGAAAAATCATTTTAATTAACGAAAAGAAATAATATAATTACACATATGAAAACAAAGTTTGAAATCTTGTAAAAGAATTACAGAAATTCTTAAATGGCGACAAAATATCAAACGACTTAACACCCAATTACGCCGTTTACTCATGTAGTCATGTATGGGCATTTATGGAGGATCACAATATCAGGTTTGGATCTAAATATATCACATATGTTAATTACTGACTACTGAGCTCAAAACTTCCATAAATATATCACATACTTCACTAAATTTATCTCATTACATGGTTATCATGACCATAGAACTCCATTTGCTGACCATAAACAGTCATCAATCATAATAATATCATGATCACCAGAAGTTGAAAAATCGTCATAGGTCCGCCACTGGTTATGGTGGTTCATCAGATCTATAGCTTCCATAAAAAAATCACCACCCATTCTCCAGAAATCCTCAACTGGTTCTTCACTTAACGGTTGTGACGAGTATCCATTCGAAGCCACATGATCCAAGCTGCTTGAAGATGATGGTGACGATTGTTCTTTGTTTACATGAGATGATGATTCCGCAGATAACACTGACAATAATAATTCAAATTCGTCTCTATCTTTCAAATCAGAAACTTTTACAACACCTTTTTCTTTACTGCACAAAGGATTCTGGACCATTTCTTTTCCCGAGTATGACACAGTAGTCTTTTGATTAACACGTTTACGCAAATGAGTGTGCCAATGGTTCTTTATGTCATTATCACTTCTTCCTGGTAATTTTGCAGCGATTTTCGACCATCTGAAATTAACAGTAATATATATAAGAGGAGATAATTGATCAAGAAGTTGAGAGATGTAAAGTAGTTCATGAACACATACTTGTTACCAATACTGTGGTGTAAGCTGATAATGAGATCTTCTTCTTCATCTGTGTAACTTCCACGATTTATATTTGGATGAAGATAATTAACCCATCTAAGCCTGCAACTCTTTCCACATCTTGATAACCCTAATCATTTGAAAGAACACGGAAGGAGATCAATTGAGAATCATTTAAAGAAGAAGGATTCAAAATGTCGTGACAAATTTTAACAGAAGAAAAGAGGTTTCATACCAGCTAACTTGGGGAGCTTGCGCCAGTTTGAATGACCGTATTTCTCGATATACGCTCTCAGCTTCTGATCTTCATTATCGCTCCATGCTCCTTTTTTCAATCCGTTTTTGTCGAAGTATGGTGCCCTAACCATGTTTACTCAACTAGTCCTTCTTTAGTCTTATCTTGAATTAGTTTCTAATAGCTCTAAACTGATGCCCATGTTGAAGCCAGTTCACTCTTGTATTTATACAAAAAGAAACAATAAACCAAAACGTGTCTTGAAATGTAATACTTCCAAAACCCACTAGCGTAGACTTTCAAAAATTCAGGGATTTTTTTTTCTTACTATTCTCAGATTAACATGGATATTGTTTTAATAAGACTGGAACAATCCAATCAATTTTAATAAAAATAAATACTTAAGTATTTGATTATTAATAAGAAAAAAATTGATTAGATTTTTTAAGAAATTATATATTATTTTTGGACAAAAAAAAAGGGCAAAAAAAGAACACTTGGGTTGCTCTAGAAGCTCCCACGAATGTGATGATTTTTGGATTTACTGTGTAATAAGAAACCTTCGACTTGTACCAATTCATAGCATAACGCCAAATGTGGTCAATATGGGTTCCTAGATATAGGAAACAATATATATATATATATATATATATATATATATATATATATATATATATATATATATATATATATATATATATATTCAACCTTAACCATATATTTCTGATTTACCGTTCTAACCGTTCTCTGTACCGGCACTAAGACGACAATGTGTTGGATTAGATCATAAATGGGTTAACCTGTTTAATTAATTCGGTTGAAAATCTTTTACTCAACCTAATCTTTTAATTAAGTACATGGGTTAAAATTGCGTTGATATGTTTATTGTTTTACAACCCAACCTATTTACTAAATAGGTTAAACAAATGTTAATTTGTTTTAATTTCCAGAAAAAAAAAACTCCATAAAAAAATCAGATAATGCATCGAATAAAATTCCGTACAATTTAGAAGCTATAATAATTATTCAAGTTTGAAAATTGTACGATAATAACTTTATAGGCTCATAACATAAACACAAATAAATGCTTATAACCATAAAATATTATAAATGTTTTAATTTCTAAGTCCTATGCAACTCAACTATCAACATATGTATCTCATTTACCGTTCTAACCCTTCTGTGTACCGGCACTAAAACCACAATGGGTTGGGTTAGGTCATAAACAGGTTAACCTGTTTAATTAAGTAGGTTGAAAATCTTTACCCAACCTAACCTTTTAAGTAAATGGGTTAAAATCGAGTTGACATGTTTATTGTTTTATCACTCAACCTATTTACTAAATAGGTTAAACACAGATTAACTCGTTTAAATTGTTAGAAAAAAAAAAACTCCATAAAATATCAAATAATTCATCGAATAAAATTCCGTACAATTTAGAGGCTATAATAATTGTTTATGTTTGAAGATTATACAATAATAACCGTATATGCTCATAACACAAACATAAATAAATGTTTATAACCATTAAAAATTATAAATGTTTTAATTTCTAAATCCTATGCAACTCAAGTATCACATTTACCAACTTGAATTCCAATAACAATTATTACTGACCCATGGCTTTTGATAAACAAAAAATAATCCAAATATAATGATCAAGTAGATAATAATACTAAATAAATATAGATTAATAATATTTAAGTATTTTAAACGTGTTGGCGAGTTGTAAATGGGTTAATAATTTCAACTCTAACCCAACCCTTTTAATTAAACAGGTTAGACACGTCGACGCATTTACTTAAATGGGTTCTAAATCTCAATCCCACCTGCTGTTTTTTAGGTTGGATTCGGGTTGGGTTAGCGGGTTCGGGCTAAGATTGTTACCCTTAACCAGCACGACAGGAGAGTTTATAATCATTAATGATTATGCAACGCCGTCCCACCACCATAACCACCACCGCCAACTCGCCACCTATCAACCACACTACTGCCACCTCCGTCAACTATATCACCGCCACCTCTGCCACCACCACCTCCTCTCCTACCAACCACTATAATCATATATGATTAAGCATTTTTGAACAAACATATATGTATCATCATTTATGATTAGACATATATGCATAAACATATATAATTATATATGATTATACATTTCCGCAATATAATCGTTTATGATTAAACATACCTCATTGCTGCTAATATGCTGAAACGTTTGAGTGACAAATCAGAAATATGAAATATATGGCTGAGATTGAATCTCATTGATCTCTATTTTTTTAGAATCTTAAGTGAATTGTCTCATATATATATATATATATATATATATATATATATATATATATATATATATATATATATATATATATATATATATATATATATATATATATAGTGGCGTAAGATTTTAGTTAAAGTAGATATCAGGATGGAATCGACAAAAAGTAAATTGATATTACGGGTAATAAAGTTGAAATACATTGCTATAATAGGTAAAAATCAAGGTACAATGGCTGCAACTTTTTTCTTAGAAATATAATGCATTATTGTAGAGTATCGAATGTTGTGAATATATTCGGTATCAAAGGATTATGTTCATAATGTTGAAGTTGTCCTGTTGTTTATATCGAAATTTACGTAATTATGGTATATCTATGTATTTCAAAGAGCCTTGTGTTTTAGTACTTAAGTATAGAAGTCTCTTTGTATATTTTGTGTTTATCGATAGCACTCTAACTACTGTTGTATCATAGCTTATAAGTATTACACTTTCTTAGAACATGTCTAGTACTATATAACCTTGCTGCTTTATTGAACTAAACACCGATTTATTTACATCCCATGTTCTTTACTTCACGTATTTGAAAAACGCTTTTCTTCGAACGAAGTTTGTGATTGTACAATTCAGTAATCAAGTTCCATTCAACCTGATTTGATTTCTTTTCGATTCAATTTTCTCATTCTTTCTGATCGAATCAATGGCAAACTTGAATGTTAACATGATGATCAATTTCACAAATCTTCTTGGATCTTCCACAAAAACCCAATGTTGCTTCTAGAGTATTACGATAAATGGTTTGATCGTATGGAAGACTAACTGAATGTAATTGATGAAGATCTATGGTGTCCAATTAGAGACGGTCTATTTCATGTGACTGTAGTTAAAGATGTTGGTATAGATGCTCAGAATGAAAACATTATGGTAACACGAATGAAGAGAGAAGCGAATGGCAAGAGATGCATACATGAACTGAGAGGTACATTACCTCCAATTGTTTACAACTATATTCGTGGTTATCAGATTACTTAAAGAGATCTAGAATACTTTCAAGGAGAAGTTTCAAGGCAATGAACGAACAGAGAAAAGTTCAGTGAGTTATATTTTGTATGAATTGTCTGAATTCAAGCAGAAAGATACATGGCCAATCGAAGCCTACTATGATAGATTCAATGATCTGATTTACAAATGTTCAAGGTACAATGTCTTTCGGTTAGTTATGGAATTCAAAATCACATTCATTCATGGTTTGATAAAGGAGTGGAAAGGCATTTGCATTATGATCAAATCTGAAGAAAATTTCGATTCATACTCTCTATCAAACATTTACAACATATTGAAAGGACATGAAGCTGAAGTGAAAGATATTACATATGAGAAGGCCAAAGCTAGTTTGCTATTGTTTTTAAAACCAACATCAATGAAGCCTATTCTAATATTGAAGATGGTGAAGATGAAGAAGGATTAATTGTGAACTTTGCTGATGAGGCAGTGGCTTACTATTCCAGTAATAATGTCATATTTTTTAAATGAAGCCAATAAAAGGAAACATCAAAAATAACTCTTTCAAGAAAAATACTTTGACATCCAACCCTGTTGTTGAGAATAAGAAAGAAGGAAGTTCTGGTGAGATGAATGTTAAGAAGAAGTTAATTGGTGACTCTCGTTATGACTATAATTATTGCAATGGAAAAAAACCATTTGGCAAGGGAATGTATGTTAAAGAGGCAGAAGGAGAAGTAGGATAAGATAAAGGATGAAGTCTATTATGCTTTGAATATCGAACAATTAAGGGCTATGTCAAAGTGTAACGCTCCAAAAATTACAAAGTGCAAATTTTCATTTTTAAAATCCAAAAGGAGCATCATTCATTCATTTAAAACCAATCAATTATGATAATGTATAAAATAGTTATCAGAGTACAAATCGTGTAATAAAATGCAGAAATATGGTGGATGCTATGTGATCATGTCGGGCCCTTCACTTTCGAGCCAGATGTACCTGAAACCACAAAGATAAAGCTGTAAGCACAAAGGTTAGTGAGTTTCCCCAAAACACCACATACCATACATATATAATGGTCAAAACATAACTTGGGTCCATTTCACCCCCTTCAGTCTCTTTCAACCTATACTAGGTCTATTTTACTCCATTCGGTCTCTTTCAACCGGTACTAGATATGTTTCACCCCCTTCAGTACCTTTCAACTGATACTAGGTCTATTTCACCCCCTTCAGCCTCTTTCAACCGATATCATGTCTATTTCACCCCTACAACTAAGCATACAATCATATCAACAAGAGTCACAAAGACAATAAGCACATATGGGCATAACAGTAAGTGTCACAAAGACAACCATAATCGTACAAACATAATCTTATGGGCCGACATTGGTGACTTCGACCCATGATTTCAGGTCTTTAGAGGGTGATGAAGGTTGAAATCCTATCCATTAAGTCCTTTATGTAGGGCCTAAAGCCCAGGGATTCATGTTTTTCTACAATCGACTGCGACACGGTAGCGAGTCAATTAAACTCACAGTCAAGAAAATAATCCCACGCCATGATGAAGCCCCACTATGCCTTGGCATCCCAAGAATAAATTTATAAAATTTAAATGAACTGATTCATACCTGAAACGGGTATTACAACTCTCCCCTACTGTAGAGGTTGAATTTAGTTGTGAGGTATCGAATCTTAATGATAGCTTCGTTAGTTTGTAATCTTATTACAAGGGCATATTATGTACGAAGTATATTGTTTTAGTCTGTTGTATTTTTTGTTCGCTTTCATCTTTCCTATAAATAGGGAAGTGTACTAGAGTAGATAAGAACTTTTCTTTGATTAATTTGCGTAACCTTGTCTAAACTCTCTATACCGATTGAAAGCTAATGGGAGCCAAACAGATTATATTTACTTCTTATGTTCATCAATCATACTTAACTTTGATCTTGTTATTCAATCTTGATTTCATTGCAACTACACCCACTTGAATCATAATTTGTCCTTGATGTCCGCCGATTGGAAATAACTCAGGGTAATGCTCTCTCATTTCCTCCTTGGGCTCCTATGTCCACTCTGAACCTTTGCGGTGCTGCCACTACAACTTTACCAAGCTCACAACCTTGCTACGCAAGGTCTTCGTCTGCTTATCGAGGATAGAAATTGATCTCTCTATATAATTCAGGCGCTCGTCCACCTAAATGTCTTCCAAAGGGACCGTTGCGGAATCATCAACTAAACACTTCCGTAGCTAAGAGATGTGAAAAGTATTATGGATCTTAATCAGTTCCTCGGGTAGATCCAAACGATATGCAATCCTACCCACTTGGGCAACCACCCTGAAAGGTCCAATATACCTGGGGCCTAACTTGCCCATCTTCCTAAATCGGATGACACTTTTCCACGGTGACACCTTCAAGAGCACCATATCCCCGTCCTGAAATTCTAAATATGATCGTCTTCTATCAGCATAACTTTTCTGGCAGCTCTGCGTGGTCTGCAACCTTCTGTCTACCTGTTGGATCAAATTAGTAGTCCAGAGTACCACCTTCATGCTACCTATGACCCGTTGATCGACCTCGCCCCAATAAATCAATGATGGCGTGGTAGCTGTTGTTGTAACAAAACTTAGTGAACAGAGATACATATCCCGGTTACCACCAAAATCTAGCACATATACTTGAAGCATGTCCTCCAAGGTTTGGGTAGTCCGCTCGCTCTGACCATCGATCTGAGGGTGAAAAGTCGTGCTGAAGTGTAACCGAGTATCCAACTTCTCATGGAACCTCTTCCAAAACTTGGAGGGGAACTAAACATCACGATCTGAAACCACTGATACTAGAACCCCATGTCATGACACTACCTCTCGGATATAAGTGCCTGCCAACTTCATTGTAGAGATTATCTCCTGAATGGTAATAAAATGAGTGCTCTTGGTCAATAGATCCACGATGAACTAAATCGAATCCACTCCCCACATTGTCTGTGGCAACTTCGTAATGAAGTCAATCGTGATCTCTTCCCATTTCCAAATGGAAAACCCAACGGCTCCATTTTTCCGTGAGGTCCATGTACCAAGCCACATCCTGCTTCATATAGGGGCACTAATAACTGGGTTAGAGATCACTATACATATTTGTCTCACCCCAGATAAATTGAAAATCTCAACTTGTGTGTCTCTTCCATCAAAATCTGCCGCACACCGCCATAGTATGGAACCTAGACTCTCTGATGAAGGGTCAACAATACCCGACTATCATAATCAAAGGAAGCCAGCTCATCCACTATGCGCTCAGTCTTTCGATGCTCCTCTTTCATAGCCGCAACCCCGAATCTACTCTAATAGTGGAGTAATCACCATCTTACATGTATTTCGTGTATCTCTCACTAGTGGATTTAAAAACCTCGCGAATTAACTTGGGTTATAGGTGTGGTTCTGGGTGTATTGATTGCATCTTTTGATGTAACTAGTTATTCCTTACTTCAGGAAAAAATGGTTATTAGGCAGTGAAAATTGTAACAGGTCATCCTCAGAAAAACATCCATGATGGGAGTACTGTCTGCCTTGCGGTTGAGAGCATCGACCACCACATTGGCCTTCCCTGGGTGATAAAGGATCTCATAATCACAATCCTTTACCACATCAATCCACCTGTTCTACCTTATATTTAGATTTTGTTGGTTAATCAAATATCTCAAGCTCTTGTGGTCTGTGTAAATGATACAATGAACCCCATACAACTAATGTCTCCAAATCTTGAAGGCAAAATCCATAGCCCCAACACCAAGTCATGAGTAGGATAAATCGCTTCATGAGGCTTTAGCTGCTTCGAAGCATAAGCTATCACACACCGCCTCTACAAAAAAACTACACCCAATTCCGAAATTGATGTATCAGAATACGCCACGAAATCATTCACACCCTCTGGCAAGCTCAAGATCAGAGCCTCGCATAACATCTGCCTCAAAGTCTAAAACGTCACTTGCTGCTCTAACCCCCAACGGAAAGTAACAAACTTCTTCGTTAACCTAGTCAACAGAACTACAATCTTGGAGAAGTTCTTGATGAACCTCTGATAATACCTTGCTAAATCCAAGAAGCTCCGAATCTCAGATGATAATACCTTACTAAATCCCCTACTCATTGACAAGGTGCCCAAAAACTACACCTTGCACAACCAAAACTCACACTTGGAGATCTTGGCATAAAGTCTCTCCCTCCTTAGAGTCTCAAGAACCTCTCGCAGATGATCCTCATGTTTCTCCATGGTCTTATAATAGACCAATATATCATCACACTACAACAAAATGAAGCTAATGCAACCCCACTAAAAGGTTGCATTAGGCCTTGTAAAAGTTGCATAATACCTAAAGCAACCTTTTACCAAAGGTTGCATTAGGTAAAGTTGCATTAGATCTAAAGCAACTTTTTTCTTCGAAAATGCAACCTTTTTTGAGATAGTTGCAAATCTTTTTTAAATGCAACTTTTTTTATTGCAACGTGTGTTATGCAAAAGCAACCTTTTTAATACTCATATGTAACTTTTTTACACTTGGATGCAACTTTTTTTAACTATTGTAGTTACGAAAATGCAACTTTTTTATAATCAAATGCAACCTTAATTATGTTTTCTAGTAAAGAATTGCAACCTTTCTATATGGCATATGCAACCTTTGTTATGTCTTTAAATGAAAAAAATGCAACCTTGTTTATAGTCAAATGCAACTTTGTTTTTGTGAGTTTTCTAATTTCAATGCAATATTTTTTTTCCTAATCATATAGATGCCACATATGTTTACTACATTGTTACAAATATAAATTACTACTAAAATTTCACCTTAAAAATAATAACATAAATATATTATATAATTTTATGGTCTCCTTTGACATATCTAAATTCAAAATAATAACCATAAATCAAAGTCAACACAAAGTTGTCAACTATAATCACAAAAAAATAATTAAAAACATTCTAGATGTGTCTTAAACATAGACGATAAATCATATTAGCAACTATCGGCCTTCTCGAGGTTGTTGTTCCGCTAACTTTCGCATCATGGCTTCAAGGTTTTCTTGCTGTTTTTTAATATCTATTTGCATAGCTTTTAATTCGGCCTGCTTTTTTTCATGGTCCTCTTGAATCTCTTTCCGCATTTCAATCAACTCATTTCTTTCAACTTCATTTGCTTTGAATGATTCCATAAGTCCCGTCGGAATCATGTATGATGCATCACCACCACCCACTTTTTTTATCAATCTATTAGTAACGCCTCTACCATAAAGTCGACGGTATCCATCATTCTCTTTTTTCATCACAATCATATAAGGATCTATGGCATCACTTTCATCTTCTAGATGTTCATACTTCTTCATTTGTTCCTACAAGATTATTAAAAATGAATATGATAATTTTACTAAAGCATCTACCATTAAAAAGTTGTTAATATTGTAAAAAAAATTGCATTTAAATGCAGAAAAGAACAACTTTTTTATTGTTTAAATGACAACTATTTGATGTCCAAAAATCTGCTATCAAAAGACTGTTTTTATGTAAAAAAAAACTGCATTTTAACATCTAAAAAAACTGCATCTTAAAACATTTTTTTTTCGTGTAAAAGACAGCTATTTGATGTCCAAAAATCTGCTATCAAAATAGTGCTTTTATGTAAAAAAAAAACTGCATTTTAGCATCTAAAAAAATTGCATTTTAACATCTAAAAAACTGCATTGAAAACAATTTTTTTTATTTTGTAAAAGACAAGTATTTGATGTCCAAAAATCTGCTATCAAAATACTGTTTTTATGTGTAAACAAAAAACTGCATTTTAACATCTAAAAAAACCGCATTTCAACATATAGAAAATTATATTTTAACATATAAAAAATTGCAATTTAATGTCTAAAAACTGCAATTTAACGTCTAAAAAGATAGTTTACTATTAAAAGGGAAAATTATTGTAAAATTGAAATATAAACTTACAATTTTATTTGCCGTGTCATCATATGTATCGACATATACATGCCCATCTGTCCTTTTACGTGTACGTTCAAACATTTGACTTAGAGTTGGGAATTCCTTGTTTGGATCTTCATTTTTCTATACACATGATAACATAAATATCAACAAGAAAGTATCAAAATGTGGGAAAATATAAACACAAATCACAAGCAAAAAGAAGACATTAATTACCATTTCGTCACGAATTCTAGCAAAACTTTTTGGACCAGCCGTGTGCATATTTTTTAGAGACTTGCGTATTTCTTTTGCCCGCGAACAACGTTTCTACACACACATTAATATATAAAACTCCATTGACCAAATACACCTAAAGACAAATCAAATATTAACAAACACTGGTAATAAAGAAAATGTTTTTGAAATTACCGCCACATCTTTTTTATTCCATAACACTAATAGTTTTGAGAACTCTTCTTGAGGAATGCATTCAGGTCGATTCTTCCATCTTGTTTTATTGTCCTTAAATTGATAGAAGTGTTTTTTCTTGAACCTACATTTGTATACCTTATACAAATTTCCAATTGTCCTAAGAACCCAAGTTTTAGCATCATCGGGCACATCATATTTTCCCTTAAAAAAATTAGTAATTAGTAAAAAGGAAGGAAAATAAAAAAGGATAGAAGAATAAAGCTACCTAAAAACTTACCAATACATACTCCCATATCTTATCTTTATGTGGAACTTTGTGCCATGAAGTACATGTCAATGGTGCATAACTATGGGTACGAGCTATTGTACCCAAAAACCGAGAGAATTTTCCTACTACATCCTTCCCCTCTATTATCGGTCCAACGGGTTGTCCATATTCATTACATATAATAACCTCACGTTGATTAACATTTCGTGTGTGAACGGAATGTAACATTGTTGGTCCTCTTTTCTTGGGTGTAGAAATTACTACATTCCAACATAGAATATATATATATATATATATATATATATATATATATATATATATATATATATATATATATATATAAACCAAAAGCATGATCAAGTAGTGAAGTTGAACCTGTTTCCTTTTCTAATTGGGGTTCTTCTAATTGTTCTTCAAAAAGTACATCATCCTCATTTCCCAAATCGTCATCGCTATCATCAACTTCAATCTCATTTTCAATATTTGCATAGTTCAAATGGTCCATGTCTTCATGGTCATCATTTTGATCAACATCATCTTCTAATTAAGGAGTAAATATAACAGCAATAATAAATAGCAATTACAAAAAAATATAACAAAAAATGAAATATTCATTAAACTAAACGAAAGTACCTTCACATTGCGCAAGACGTCCTTCATTAACATTATCTTTCAAACCAAATTGCTCCATATCAGCTGCAATAACATCAAAAATCGTAGAAACGTAAATTAATATAACATGTAGTTTTATGAGGTGACTTTGTTATTTCTCATTAATTAAATAAACATTTAGATTGACAAGATACTACCTTGAGATATCTCATCATCCTCATCCTCATCAACAAGAGCCAATTGTCTCGTTGCTCCACTTATGATACAATTATGCTTTTCCGCATTTTGTTTGAATACCTCTCTTTCCCTTTGCGGTCCTTTATTCCTCAAGATTAAGTCACCCATACTAGTCTTTGATCTAGATTGTTTTTCTTTAGTTGCATTCGAAACCAATGGATACTTATTCGAGACATTTGGAGCAATCACCCGACGTTGCCTTGTTAAATTAGCAAGTCTATTCATGGACATTGGTGCAATATATTGTGGACGATGTTGCTGTAACAAATTTACTTTTCATTATTAAATATCAACATCAAAATAAAACAATTACAGATTTGCTAATATGATTACCTTTTTGGATACTTGAACACTTCTAGCAACTTCGTGGTAATCTCCATCAATATCATCACCCAAATCAGGAATATAGTCTGAATCTCTAGCACCGATATACGTTGGTTTCACTTGTTTTTTCTTTGGTTTTTGACTTTCTACCAAACTTGTCAAAGAATTTGCAATGCTTTTAACTCCCAAATCTTTTAGTCTTGCTTGGTTTTCTTTTATCCTCAAAAGTCTATTCTTCTCATAATCATTCATTTCTTTTTGTGCACTTTGATCTTGCTTGTTTTGTTTTCCCATTATCGGCCTGCTCAAAAGTGACATTATCAATTTAAGTTCAAAATACATAATAATAGCATTGTAGTATCACTTACATGTAATTTTTTTCCTACAATCATAAAATTAAATAAAAAAAGAAACAAGAAGCTGACAAATAAGGCACAATGCAACTCCAGTACTTACGATTAAACTGAATCGAAAGGAACCTGCAAAACAACCACACATGCACCTCTAATTTAAAATCTAAAAAAAGGTAAAAATAAAAGACATGAAAATTATTCCACAAAGATAAACATCACATTATAAAATAAAATCTATCAAATGTAGAAAAAAAAACTTTGTTTTTCAGTTACCTTCAAACCTAAACTTTCACAAAGTAGTGACTTATTATCACTTGCTTATTATTCAATGCATAAAATGACATGAAATAATTTAGGTAAACACAAAAAGTTTAAAGAATTAAACTATCTTATTACAAAAATGTAAAAGAAAAGTAAATATTAATATTATTGTCAGTATCTCAATGAGCCTCGTCTTCTTCTGCTTCCATCCAATCCCATAATGTATCGTCATAATCAGAATCGCCTCCACTGTCACTATTAGCTTCATCAGCCCCATCTAAATTTGTATTTGCATCAACTACAAGAGGAGGCATATCATGTCTTGACAATTGAATCTCATGTTCACCAACTTGTGCAAAAGAATTTAACCCATCCTCATTAGGCTCGGACCAATACGAGTCACCAATAGTTTCACTGCTTTCATCTTTGAGGTCATAGATATCTCTAGGAACCCTATTGAGAACATAATGCAAAAAGTCTTCTATAGGGTCTGCTACGTAGAACACCTGGTTTACTTGGGAAGGCATGACAAAAGGATCGTCTGAAGAGCAAAACTTATTAAAATTAACACATGTTAATCCATAATCATCTTTCTCTACTTGGTACCACTCACAACGAAACAAAACAACTTTGAACTGCGACCAATAGTCGAGTTCAAGTATATCCAAAATTCTACCATAGTAGTCAACATTCCCCATAGCTGGATTTTTGTCTCTAGAACTTGCAAAGCTAGGAGTTATAGCCGTAATAGAAACACCACTATTTTGAGTCTGGCATTTAGCATCTCGTGATTTGGTATGAAACCTATATCCATTGACATAATACCCGTGATATCTCTTTGAAGTAGGACTAGGACCCTTAGCAAGCCAAAAAATATGATCTGGAACATTATTACTTTTAACTTTCTCCTTTAACCAGTTGGCGAATTCATTACTATGGTTTTGGGCGCGTGCCCATCGACTTTTCTGTGGTTGGGTGTCAATATAAACTTTATGCTCACTGCATCATCACGTAGAAAAAAGAAAATTAAATGTGAATTAAGTTTTATCATACATTTAATTTGAAGAAATGAGATGCTATAAATTGATTACTTACTTGATATATTCATCAACTTGTGCACAATCAGAATTGAATAAGGCATAACGATGTGCTTGTTCCCTTAAAATAAGATCTAAAGTTATAAGCTTCCCTTTTCTTCGCTTTTTACCTCCAATAGGATGACCCTTATTGACAAATATTGGTCCACCAGACTCATGTTCTTCATCCATATCATCGACATCTTTTGAACCCCTATTAAGTCTTGTTTTTACTCCATCATGCATATAGCGTGAGCAAAAAGTCAAACATTCTTCAATCAAATATCCTTCTGCTATGGATCCCTCTGGACGACTCTTATTTCGCACATATGACTTCAACTTACATAGGTATCTTTCCATAAAATACATCCATCTATATTGAACAGGTCCTCCAAGTCTAACTTCGTTTACTAAGTGGATAGGTAAGTGCACCATTATGTCAAAAAACGTTGGCACAAATATTTTCTCAAATTCACACAATATTTGAGTTATTTCTAATTGTAATCTGTCAAGTTCCTCGGGCCTAATTACCTTGCTACACAAACTACGAAAAAAACCACCCAACCTAATCAATGGGATTGCAACATGCTTTGGTAATGATTTTCTCACTGCAACTTGAAGCAAGTAATGCAAAAAGATATGAGCATCATGACTCTTGTAACCCGAAAATTTCTTTTCTGAAGAATTAACACATCGGGCAATATTAGATGCACATCCATAAGGCAACTTTGCTTCCTTCAAAACACGACAAAAAATTGCTTTCTCCTTTGATGACATTGAAAAACATGCGTTGTGGAATATAACATTCTCACCATCTTCAGAAAGTTCTGGTTGAAGTCGTTCTTTAATGCCTAACTCCAAAAGGTCAAATCGAGCTTTTACATGATCCTTTGACTTTCCACTAATATCCAACACTGTCCCTACCACATTATCAGTTAGATTTTTTTCGATATGCATTGGGTCAAGATTATGTCGGCATTCAATAAATTTCCAATAGGGCAATTCAAAAAATATTGACCTCTTTTTCCATGGGCAATTACTATCATTTTTTTTCTTTTGTGTCTTCCCAAATATATTTTGAAAGCTAGACAACTCTCTCAAAGCTGCATCTCCTGATAGGGGTTTTGGATAAGGTCTTTTTTCAGTTTTACCATTGAAAGCACTTTTATTACGTCGCCATGGATGTAGAGCATCTAGAAACCTGCGATGATCCATATAGCATGTCTTCTTACTATGCTTCAGTTGGAGTGAACTGGTTTCATGATTACAACATGGACATGCGAATTTTCCTTTAGTTTTCCACCCTGACAACATGGAATAAGCTGGAAAATCACTAATTGTCCATGTTAAGGTTGCATACATTCTAAAGGTTTCATCTTTATATTTATCATATGTCTCTAACCCATCAACCCATAATTCTTTCAGCTCCTCAATTAAAGGTTGCAAATAAACATCAATGTTATTACCTGGTGAGTCAGGTCCAGGAATTAACAAAGACAACATAAAGTATTCGGGTTTCAGTGACATCCATGGAGGTAAATTATAGTTAACTAATACCACAGGCCAAGTGCTATGAGCAATGCTCATTGTTCGAAATGGATTAAATCCATCACTTGATAACCCTAACCTTACATTTCTAGTTTCTTTTGCAAATTGAGGATACAAAGAATCAAATTTCTTCCAGCTTTCCCCATCAGCAGGATGTCGTAAGTTTCCATCATTAGGACGTCCTTTGTCATGCCACGTCATATATTTAGCTGTTTCAGAGCACATGAAAAGTCTTTGGAGCCTTGGTTTTAAAGGAAAATGCCACACAACCTTAGCAGGAATATTTGAAGATTTTTTGAAATGCTCATTGACATGCTTGCTCGCTTGTTTCTCATCCATTTGTTTCCACTTAGAGGTATGACAGACGTGGCAGGTATCGTCTTCTTCATGATCCTTCCAGTATAGCATGCAATCATTCGGACATGCAGGAATCTTTTTGTAATCAAGCCCCAAATCCTTCATGATATTTTTAGCTTGTGTAAAACTAGCAGGAAGTTTTGCCTCAGGAATCACCTCTTGAAAAAGTTGTAATAGATCATTAAATGCTACATTACTTAGCCCATGAAGCGTCTTGTAGAGAAAAAGTCGGATGATGAAAGATAGCTTTGTGAAATTTTTACAACCTGGGAACAACTCTTGCTTTCCTTCTTCCACCAATTTATAGAACATTTTGGCCTCTTCATTTAAGCCTTCTTGAACCATACTTATTTCTTCTGCCACATCTCTAAACCTATCATGCAATAATTCATCAAAATTGTCATGCATACCAGCTCCATCATCGTCTATGGCGATATTAGACATAGATTGTGAGGATTTTTCTCCATGAAAAACCCATACATAGTAGTTTTCTACAAACCCATACCCTTTTAAATGGTCAAATACTTTATCCCTTCGATACCAATAGCGGTTCTTACATCGTTTGCAAGGACAACAAATTTGACCATCCTTTGCTACCTTAGCAAACGAGGCATTAAGAAATTCAATGACACCAGATTCAAACTCAGGTAACCGTCTAGGTAAATACATCCAATCTCTAACATTTCCCATGTCTCTCATACCCTGAAGTGAATAGAAACATTAAACTATAGTAAAGAGTAAAGATCTACTAGTTAGAAGCCAAATTGTTTATTGGTTAAGAAACATCAAAAGAACCTAGACGGTTTCACCAAATTTTGTATTGTAATCAAATACTTTTATTTTTATCCTAAAATAGTTTGCTGCAAGAACACTAATCGCCACTGCAAAACTATCAATCGCCGCCGCATTGCGCGGGTCTCCTACTAGTATATATATATATATATATATATATATATATATATATATATATATATATATATATATATGGAGTGTACAACTCCTAATGTAATGACATTGCTATGCATCCGGTTTAGCCATGGATTTTATCCGAGGGTATTTTGGTAGACTCGGTGAAATAAAAGGTTTGCATGTAGAGGGGCAGTTTTGGTATTTTTATTATGAAGTTTGTTACAACTAGATATTTACACTCTAATGAGTGACGATTATACAAGGGTATATGTGTGATTGTCAGTTTCAAATAGCATCATGCTTTCATTAGTAAGATAGGAAGCAAGCTTTTCCTGTGTTCGGAAGGAATATATATAGTATAACAGATCCTGCTCAATTAGTAAGATGGTGATCACTTTTATCAACGTTTCCTGATCGCACTACTGTTCCTGTTATACACTGCATCTATAACTTGACATCGGTAATACTACTACAGAACAAATAAGCATATTATGTGGAATTTGATATGACTATTTATTTGATCCAAAGAAAACATTGTAATTCAGAAGCATGCATCAACTTTGTCTTAATCTTCAATTTTGGAATGGACTTCTCCCATTTACCACAATCAAAGATTACAATTCTCTTAAGAGGGAGAGACCGTGTTGATCTAACAGGCCCAGACACATTTGAAATAATGCAATTATATAACTGCCATTTGGCTGTGCGTTTTGCCCAGAGGAAAGGGGAACTAATGGAACACTACAAATCTACAATAGATGATGTGAACCTGATCCCACATTGGAGGCTGAAGAAAGAAAACAGAAGCTGGGTT